ATTTTAGAAAATCAGAAATTCAAAAAAAAAAACAAGAATTGGATAATCTCAAATTCCCGAAACTTGAGATTCGGAGAATAGAAACAAATATGGATTTCAAAAATTCAAAATTTTGAAAACGAAACAATTAGAAACTCGAAACTGACTGATAGTGAGAAAATGACAGGAAATTGTGAATTTCGAAAACTTAATATTTTTGAAAAATTTTTTGATTTCTTGATTCAATTTTTCGATTTTCCAAAAATCGAAACTGGGAGTTCTCAATTTTCAAAAATCCAAAAGTTGTTCACTTTCGAATTACCGAACTTCCGTATTACTACATTTCCGAATCAAAAATTCCTATTTTAATATTTTTCATCTTGAAGTTTTGGAATTTATTATTTTTTGATTTCTTTGAAATTTCTAAATCGTATTTTTTCATTTCTGTTATTTTATATGTTATTCTAGAAGGTGAAAATAATTGTGAAGTGATAAGGATGTGACAGTAATTGAAAATGTTGTCTTCGATAAGAGCATCGAGGGGATCATTCAGTAAAAATCGTCATCTGTTTCATATTCTGTCAAGATTTCCGCCTCCTGTTGCTGTGGAATGGGCTCATTGATGATTTTAACTTGAGTGGTCACTTGATGATAGCGATCACGTCGACGAGCATTCATGAAAAAGTTTTCCACTGTTTCCATACTGATTTCAAGACGATCGGCAAGCTATTGTTGCATTTCACGGGTTGGGCGTGGCGAAATTTTGTATATCGATTGAAGTGCCTGCTTCTGATGAGCAGTGAAAACAAAACGAGAAACTTTGGCAGTTGGCTCACTCTCATCGAAATTCATACGTTTGAAATTTAAATTTTGATAAATTGAAATTAAATAAACAGTTTGTACCTTTTTCAAGATCCACTTGGAACTGGCGTTGATGGAAGCACTTCTTTTGCTTCAGCAACTTCTTCTGGTGACATAGAATTTCTAGAATCTAGAATTCTGAGTCTGGCTGTAAGTGGTTGCTGCAATCATTTATGCATTCGACGGAATGTTTCCTGTCCGGATTTCAGCATATTCCATGGTTTGGGATTGCGAAGCAGGTCGGAAAGAGTTCCCGGACTGCGACATAATATTCTTTCGGTAAATGTTTTCTGTGGGATCTGATGAGTCTTCATCTCGTTGACTACTCTAATGGTTTCATCCTTTGTGTCGATTTCTTCCTCGTTTTCGGAGTTGTCGAAGTCTTTTGAAAAAAAAATCTAAACCTAGGTCATGACCCAGAAATTGAAATCTAGGTCATAACCTAAATGTTGGAATCTAAAAAAAGTTGGAATCTCAAAAATACAAGGCACGTGCTTCAAAAATACAAGGCACGTTACGTGCCTCAAAAATTCAAGGCACGTTACGTGCCTTGTATTTTAGTACATGAAAAAATAGATTGATTTTTTTTATGTCTGTAAAATGTTAATAACTCCAATAAATAATGTTCCCCCGGATTCTTCTGATTGGCCTATAGAAGACCTAAACTTGTTTTTAGCGAATGGAACAAACAGTTTTGAATTAAAAATTTGATCAGTTTTTTTCCCATTATTGAAATATGTAATACCGTAAACACTCTGATAGAACGTCACCCAATTCGCCAAATTGGAGCTCATTTATCTAATTTTCTATGAGAGATATCAAAAAGTGGTTAACTAATAAAATGTTGCTGATATTATGATAACCTTTTTATTAGTTGACTACTTTTTGATACCTTCCAAAATAAGTTAGATATTTAGACTTAAAGTGGACGGTCCGGGTGGCCTTCTATTTATTTATTTATTTATTTATTGATTACGACCTTCCGTCGTGGAAAAAGAGAAAAAAGAGAAAAGGAATACAATACAATCACACAAAACACAGATACACGAATAACCAGACAACACATTTAATTAAAGTGGAGAACCGAATAGTAACACTATTTCCAAATAATAGCACATAACCATCAACACATACACGCATATTATGCTTGTCTGAGAAAAAAAAGGTTGAGACGCAGAGAAAAAGTGTCTGCGTCTCCACCGTTTGTGTGCTGTTTAGGCTCTCCGCTTCGATATCGCTACCGTATTCAGACTGCAAAAAATACTCTCTAACCTTTTTTTTCTCAGACAAGCATAATACAGAATAAAAGTTATACCTATTAGAGTGTTCACGGTATTAGCCACTATTCTGAACACTATTCTGAACATTCAATTCCACCAAATTGAACTTTTCAAAACTCCAATACTTTCAAAAACTATTTGTTGAATATTTGAGTAGACTTTTTATGTTTCTTTTTTCTTCTCACCACAACTTTTTCTTTATGTCGTGAAAGAGAAGTTCAGCAGAGAACTAGAGATAGAGGTAAGTAAGTATTTTCCATACTTGTTGAAAAGATGGCCGGGCTGAGACTTTTCTGAAAGCGGGCCGGGCCGGGCCGGAAAAAATTACACATGGCCGGCCCGCTTTTTGAAAATTTCGAAATTTTAGAGCAAATCATCATTTTTCGAGATGGCTTTTCTCAGTAATAAATAAAAATCCACACTAGAGGACGATTCTGTCGAAAAAAAACTGTTTTGAGGTCGTTTTTAGAAAAAAATTTAATCCTTGGCTTAATGAAGTTTGATTTTTTTTTGCTAAAAATTTAATTAAATTGACTTTTTCGGATGGTTGTATGCATTTGGATTAATATTTGTGCTATTAAAAATATATTGGCACAAAAGTAACATTTTCGAAAAGTTGTCCTAGGCGGGCCGAGGGTTTTGAGGCAATCGGGCCGGCCCGGCCATCCACATATATGGTATATTCTTTTTATATTTTTTTTCTGAAAATTCCAAAAAAAAAACTATAAAGAAATGGGGTTTGGGTTTTTCTAGCTTCTATTTGTCTAAATCTTTGTTTTAATAGGTGGGTACAGAGACTATTTCAATGGAATCGGTCAGCAGCGACTGACAGGCGGCTCTTTTAGAGCGATGTTTGAGAAATGATTGGGAGTAGAAGAAAGGTGATATAAGAGCTCAAAGTTTATGCGTTACGCAGTTGGCTGCCGAAATCTTTACTTTAATACAATTGAGCTCGGTTTCTGTGAAAGATATAAAAAAGTTGTCAACTACCATGTTTAAATAAAATTGAAAAAAAATCATTTATTAATAAATTTCAATATGGAACTTGCGTTTTCCGTTGGAATCGACCAGGAATTCGTGACGCTCGACGCTCATGTTCTTCTCCTTCGAATTTGCTTTGAATTGGGACATTTCTGGAACAATAAAATTGGCGGAATGAGGAAATCTCGAAGACAACCTTTTGATTCGTCCTGAGTCGCTTTTCGTGGAGGGTGAGTAGAAGCTTCATTTGAACGATCATCGTTGGATTTCGAATGAGCTGGAAGTTGTATAGGGGCCGTCGTGGCGTTGTCAGCTTCTAAAAAAACATATTTAATGTAAACATCTAAAGCCAAAAAACCTTCTGAAACGAGTGTGGTACAGTCGGTGCACTCTTGATTGGTCTTTCTCGGAGGATGTGTTTTGAATTCGTCGGTCTTCGATCGTCTTGGAGGGTACTTTGTTGTCCGACCCGAATCTGAAAATATACAGCTTTTTTTAATACCCAGAGTAACTGAACTTTAACGAACCTTCAGTGGAAGGCAACGAACCAGTTTAGAAAATATATCAACTCGCGTCGAAGGCGCACCAGTCAGCGCCAGTAAGCCAGCAGTCAGTAAGCGCCGGAGGCGCGGCAAGCAGATGGCTGGTTTGCAAAATGTTTTCAAAACTGAAAGTTTTCAAATTTTAAAACGTTCAATTTTCACAAATCAAAGCTATCAAATTTTAAAATTCCGATATTCAACATTTTTCAAAATTCTAAATTCTAAATTCTCAAAATTCTAAATTTCAAACTTCAAAATTTGCAAATTTTGAAAACTCTCTAAAATTCCAAAATTGTTCAGAATTGTCAAAAATCACAATTTTAAAAATTGCTAAAAAATAAAAATTCTAATTTTTTTGAAATTTTCCAATAAAAAAAACTCACATTTTTTCAAAAAAAAATCCGAGAGATTGAATAAAAATCATAGGACTTTTAGGAATAAATAGAATAACAGTGAGGTGGAAGATAATCAGAAAAATAAAAGGGATCATTTCCAGAATCCATTCATTTTTAGAATTTTTTCTGGAAAGTTCCTGAGACGTCTATTCTGTCAAGTCGTCATAAATGGGAGAAATATGGTTGTATAAAGTTCTGAATAATGCTTTTATATGTTTTGTGGAGTCGTTTTTCGTTGATGTCTCTTTATATCACTAGTATCTCTCGTTTTTTCTTATCAGTCTGCTGTCTCTTTTGTGCCAATATTTGTCCACGTGGCGCTGCGGGGTTGTGGCTTCACTCTGGCGCGATTGTCCATTGAATTTGAAAGGAATACAGCAGACGTCATCCAGCTGAAGAATAGATTTGCCCTTTCAGCTCAATTATCTCAACTCCTAAAAAAGGTATCAAAATTTTTCAACTAATAAAATGTTCACCGTAACATCAGCAAAATTTTATTAGTTGACAGTTTTTTGATAACTTTTATATGAACCGAGATATATGGGTTTGGAGAGTAGCAACAGAAGCTTTTCTTCAGAATTTCTCAAAATCGTCAACTTTGACCAACTTTTTCTTGGCTTCTGTGGAAGATATTTAAAAAAAGTTCGAAGAACAAAGTTTGTCTTGATGTCACAAACATTTCATCGGTTGAAAACTTTTGGATATCTCTAACGAAACTGGATAAGTAGGGTCAAAATGAAGGTCTCAATCTGCATCAAAATTTGAATGTTCAAGTGTTATTCAAACTGCCTTGTGAGAAAAAAAGAGGATTTGGAATATAAAATTTCAATTATTGACCAAAAAGGCGACGTGATGCGGCATGGCTCATAAACCTTGAGAAGAGTACTATGTATTATATAAAAGAAGAGGGAAATGGAGGGAAGAATCAGTTTTCCTCTTCTCTGGGTTCCAGAGAGGGGAACCGGAGAAGGGGTCCGGAGAAGGGGTCCGGAGAGCCTGGGTCCTGGGTCCTGAGTCCTGGGTCATGACCTAGATTTTAATTTTTGGTCATGACCTAGATTTCAATTTCCGGGTCATGACCTCAATCACGGAAAATTACAATAGAGATTTTGATGTAACTGTAAATTATATTATTATTATTTAACAACAAAAAACTGCTGGATTACTATCAATTGATTAATTAACTTGAAAAATAAACCTGCTGAAAATCATATTTATTTTCAAAAAACCCCAATCAAGAAAAATTGTAATACAGATTTGAGGAAACAAAGTGTACCTATGCTTCTGGGAAAATAATGAGGGGGTGTTATAAAAACAAAAAGGTGGACCACGAGATAAGCTAGAGAATTTGGAGCATTTGTTAAGGAAACGAAAAGAGGAAAAATAGGGAACAAGGGACAGAAGGAGCAAAATATTCTGACTGGATTATTGGAATCTATTTAGTTTCTCAATTTCTTGGCGAATAATTGAAAATTGATTCTCATCCATTGATCTGGTAATCCAACTCCCACTCATTGAGATACTCTTCGTCGTTTGGGTCTTCCGAATATTCTTCTTCTCCCTCTTCCTCTTCCTCTGAATGGACTTCTTCGGTTCGGTTTTGCTCGAGCATTTTGAGCACAAACGACCGTTCCATCAAGTACTCAGCGAGCTGAAAGAAGCTTTGATGTTGGTAATTGGATTATTTCAACTTACGCTATCGCCGTTCACATCTTCTTTCATTTCAATATAAAGAATTACATCAGGATGCGTGGTAGTGTCTAAGCAGTACTTCTCGGAGAGCTTCTCGAATGTTGCCATTTCATTGGGCAACACCGAAATTTCTTTCTCCAAAAATGACTTCAGTGTATCGTATCTCTTTTTGTCCAACCAGTCTGAGATCTGTAAATTTTCAATTTCATTATGTGAAAATACTCCGATACATACCCTCTTCCGAGAGCCTCCCGATTCCAATTCCAAAGTTTCGTCTGGTTCTTCAAGGAATTGGCGTTCTTCAAAAAACTTTTCCATGGCATCCTCGAACTGATTCCGTTTTTCCGAATTACGTTCTCGTTTGAACGTTTCACCGTCCACAATCCCATGTTCTACTTGTTCTTCAGATAGAAAACGTGGGATTTCTTCAGGAATCGGATTTTTGAATCTTTGCTTTCGGAAATATTGTCTGACCTGAAAATGATAGTGGGTCATTTTGTTTGGATTAGTTGGAGCTGACCTGTGTTGTGGTCAATTCTAGTTCTGCAACCAAAGCTGCAATTTTTCCTTTTTCTGGATTACGGCTTGCAACGAAAACTTCGTCCATTTTCCGTTTTTGCTCCACCGTGAATTTTTTCACGTATCTCTGAAAAATTCGTATATAAATGTTTGTATGTTATCAGAAAATAAGTTATCACCTTCACCGGCCTTGGATTCCTGATCGATTGTTTTCTGTTGTCAAACCACCTCTCTATCTGAAAATTGAACGATTTTTTAGAGTTTAATTTTGATTTGTCGATTTTTCTAGAAAATTATCCGAATTTTTCATAAGGACGGTTTTTGAAACAAAAGAACTTTTGTTATGATGCACAGAATTTTTTTTTAAAAGTGATGAACTTTAACTTGCAAACGGAAATTTTTCGAAAACTACTCTGAACACTTTTCATGAAACCTAGTTGAAGCTCTTACTTGGCATATGGTTCGATTGGTCTCTTCTGCTAGCTTTTCCTTCTGAGCCTTTGATGGAAACTCCGTTTCACGGAACACAGCCAGGAGAATCTCTATTTGTTCATCGGTGAATCTCTGGGTTCTTTTCTGTAATTTTTCATAGAACACATGTAGAAAAAAAAATCAATTACTCCTTGGGCTCTGCGAACGCCTTTAGATTTCCTTTCATCTGGCTCAGATTCCGATTCAGATTCTGACGATGATGAAGCATCTTTTTTAGAATCCACGCGTTGTTTTGGCTTATTCATTCTTCTTTTTTCAGCTTTCTTCCGAATCGGGCTTTCTTCGAAGTCATAAACAGTTTCATCATAATTAACACGCCTTGCAGCTCTCCTTATTGGTCTTTCCTCCTGAAAACCCATTTGTGAAAAAAAACGTTTTCCAGGAAAACAGCACCTGAACATTTTCATCCGATTCAGGTATTGAGGAATTGGGTTGTCTTTTTGTTTTCGATTTCACTCCGTTGGATGTAGGTTGCGTGGTAGTGGAATTACTGCGAAGTCTCCCACGATTCATCATCTGTAAAAAAGAATTGGCCAAAAATTCGGGGGGTACAATGATTCGGGGGTACAAGGGGGTACAACTGATTTAGGGGTACAAAATTGGTGATTCGGGGGTACAAAATTCGTGGGTACGAAAATTCGGGGGTACAAACTATCAATGATTCTGGGGTACAACTTATTTCATTTAGGGGTACAACGTTTGTGATTCGGGGGTACAATTTTTTTCGACGAAGTTTCTGAATTCCTGAATTTCAGAGCTTGAAAATCTCTGAATTTTTAGAATTTCAGAACTTTGGAATTTCAGTATTTAGGAATCTGAAAATTTCGGAACTTCAGAATCTGAGAATCTGAGAATCTCAGAATTTCATAACTTCAAAATCTCAGAATCTCATAACTTCGGAACTTCAAAATTTCAGAACTTCAGAATCTCAATATTTCTGAATTTTCAATAATTACGGCAGAAATTTTCTTCATTGTC